CAAAGGAGAATCTGTGAGTCTGGAGCGAGAGAAGAATATCAACATGGACTGAACTCAATAAGTAGAACAGATCTGATCATCTTGTGTCTCTCTCTGTCTCTCTCTCTGTCTCTCTCTCTCTCTCCATCCACAGGGCCCTTCAGGTCCAATCGGCATTCAAGGTGTAGTTGGTCAGTCAGGACTTCCGGTGAGTAAATATCCCTCTTTGTTTTCTGATTATCTTCTTTTGATGTCTTGAAAACTGAAAGATTGTTTATTATTCAAAAAGTGAATCTCTTATGTAGAAAAGTCATAGTTACAAGTTGTTTTCCACACCCGAGTTCTGTAAAATCTTATCTCATAATGCATTCATTATCAAATGTAAAAGTAATTACATTTTTCAGTACCAGCTTTGAGAAGATCGATATCTCTCGCGTCGTCTTTTAAATATGAAGCAGATATAGATGTAAAAAAGTCTCCACAACGATTTTCATTTCTGATCTCTCCTCCAAGTTTTGTTCTCACTGCCTCAATGTGTACCTGTTAAACAACATTTGGAGAGTTACACCTTTGTTAATGGGACCGTGAATAATTGAGTCGCCCACTCCTTGCTCTGCTTTGTTTCTCAGGGTATAGACGGACTGCTGGGCCCCCGGGGTCAGCAGGGCATGTACGGCCCAAAAGGAGACGAGGGGCTCCGCGGCTTTAAGGGCTCCAGAGGACCATTAGGATTACAGGTGAGATTTGTCCATCAGTGAGGCTGCAGTAGTGAAGTGATATCTTCTGAGTAGACAAAGTGAGCTTTTTGCTTAATCCTCCAACCTGTGTGTTTTCTCAGGGAATGCCCGGGCTGCCAGGAGAGAAGGGTGAGAGCGGACATGGGGGATTAATGGTGAGCTCATATCCCCTTTTTAATATCCGTCCCAGATTTATATCACATTTCTCCAAGTTTATAATCTGTTGTGTCTCCCTCCTGGTTTCAGGGTCCACCTGGTCAACAAGGCCCCTCTGGTCCCCAAGGACCTGTTGGAGGACAGGTACGTCTCACAATAATGTTCATGCATCCTCATTTAGTCGTAAACTTGTTTTGAATTCTGGCGAAACACTGTGATTTCTTCTGTCTTGTTCAGGGTCCGGCTGGTAGGCTGGGGATGATAGGAACGCCGGGTGTTGTTGGCGAGAAGGTAATGCAATTGTATGATGATGATCCTTCAAAAATAAATAATCTCTTCCAGGATTTCTCACACATAATTTCCTCCTCTCTCAGGGGGAGGACGGAGAGGCGGGTGACCCCGGAGCCACAGGTCTTCCAGGACGCATGGTGAGTTGGTTTGATTCATTTCTTCAGACTTGCCCCTATAATCTTTTCCTTTAAAGAGCCTGTGACACGAATTTCCCCCATCATCCAAACCCATCAATTTGAGTAAATATTGTCCCCTTGAAAACCGTTACTGAACTGATTTTGGATATTTGTACTTTGATAACCATTAATCTGCCCTTCAATGTTGACCATTTTTCTGGATCCTCTCGGGGATTCTTCAAGTCCCGCCAAATTATGTGTGACGTCATTGCGGGCACAGCGCTCCAGCTGCACCGTTCAGGATCCCAGCATCTGCATGTAAACGCACGATGGGCCACACAGCAGCAAGCTCAGACAGCGATGACAGTTTAATTTTGAACGTGTCTGAGAGCTCATATGAGGCTGAAGGATCGGTTTGTTGTATCTGTTAGAAGTTTAGGAATTAGGTGCGTCAATATGGGCGATCATACGGTCATGTAGCCAGTGGTGGACTGGGACTAAAAATCATCCCGGGACTCTCGACCGGCCCACTTCGGTACCGCTAGTAAATTGTCAACGGGGGGGAGTGGGGGGATATGCTAGTGACTTATCCGACCGGCCCACTTCGGTACCGGCCCATCGGGATTCGTCCCGATGG